CGTTAGCCTGCCTTTCCTACTCACAAGTGTGCAGGGGAGGCTGCAGGCTATGCTGATTGAAAAACTCGAGTATAGGTGTTAAGACTCTCAGGAGAAATGTGTGTGCGCAAGAGAATGAATTGGAGGTGGAGATAAGACGAAGCCATACGAGGAAAGCAGAGAGTCAACACTTGTATTCTATAGTGCATCTTGCCTATATCCTCCCTCTTACCTCTGATAGGGGGCAGATTTCATAACAGCCTAATAACACCCTCCAAGAGGTCTCAAGATACAGCCATTCTATCTCAGCGAGAGCTGCCATCGTCTTTACCGCCACAATCCAGCCCCTGTCAACAGCCGTCAACCTCTACAGCCCCTGAGCCGACTGATATTGACAATAAAACAGGCGGCGGGATCAGCAGGTTGCCGTGAATGTGTGCACACATGCGTGTAGGTTTCCAGTGCCGCTGAAAAGGTCCAGGAGTGGACACTCACTCCAACACCACCACCCAGCGAAGAGCTCTGTGTGCACCTGGTGGCTGTGCTCTCGCACCAACGGGATGAAAGTGGATTGCAGGGAGACATGGGGAGGAATACAGAGAGACGAGAGCACAGAAAGAAAAATGTATAATGATCCGCGTTGTCACGGCTATGGCTTTTGGACAGTTCTGGTTACTCGCGCTGTGCTGCAGAAGAGATTGAGAATTGCGAGCCTTGTCATGCATCATAAATGCATTACCATATGGGAATGTAGCCTTCACATGCTGCAGAGAATAGAAATTTGGGCTCCACATAAAGAAGAATGTGTTTTATGAGGTTATGGGGGACATATTGTGTGGCAGGCCTCATAAACATATGCATGTTTCTTTTATGAGCTTTTCTGAGAATTGAAAAAGTCTTACGGAATGATGAAGGAGGCTTAAGAGGCAGATAAGCACAGGCACTATTTACATTGAAATTACTTTGAGGGGAGACAACGAGGTAGAAGAAGTCAAAATGGGAAAATATGAGAACGAAATGATGGGATCCAGGTTCTGAATGTGAATGGAAAAAAGGTTGAAGGTGCAGACAAAAAAATAATGGCGTATAGGATGTTTGTGCTGATAGATACAAGATCAGCATGCATCACCATTCCTCTCACCCCTGCCCCACAAGGGCTCTTCAGTGGCAATCTCATCGCCGCCTTTTTTTTTTTCTTTCTCCTAATATTTGCTGCAGAGGTTTCTCGAAGAAAAAAGTGGGTTTTGCAAGTGTTGGTGGGGTTTCATCTCGTTGTCTCTGGTGGGATTGTTAAAGCAGACACTGTCTATAGATCTGTGGAGGTCACAGCATTCAGAAACCTCCATTTGTTGGCACCATCAACCCTGTGGTAACAATAAAGGACAATCAGTGAGTCTGAATCAGCTTGTGGCAAGAATGTGGACCCCTGCGCGTCGAGGTGAGGACCCTATCATCTTTGCTCGCTGTGCGGCTCTGCACAGCGAATGACGAGGCTTAAGACATCATGCCCAGATTTTGCAGCGCTTGCTTTCGCTATGTCTGGCCATTTCTCTGTCCTCTGCCTGTGACTTAGCAGCATCTGCACCAAGACTGATCAATAGCTCACACCAACAAGAGGTCCTGAGGCCAATTAGGCCAGGCAAGCAGGCTCAGGGCCAAGCTTGTGTAAGACTCTGTGTCGATACTCAAGCTTGTCAACTCTTAAGAAGCATGGAAAAAAAGAGTGGAAGAAAAGAAGTGATACTAGGCACTGGCTTTGCTCCCTCTTCTGGACCAAGTTGGAGCCCATGTAGGATTTCATTCCTTAAACAATGAGGATGTCTAATTTCTGTTGTCCTTAAAAGCCAGAGGCTTTCTGTGGTAAGGTTAAGGCTACAGTCAGAGATGATTGGGTTATGTTTGTGGTTATGGTTAACCCATCAAAGACAGCTGCACTAGCAAAAGATGGTTAGGTTTATTTTTATTGAAGGTGGGTGGGTGAGAACGTACAGACAGACGGATCTTCATTCATCACTGGCTCCTCAATATTTAGAATCAACATATTTGGAGCATTCCAAAGTTATTTTTCACTTTGTACATTATTAGTCCATTCTGTTCAGTGCCTGACCATTTTTAGAGAGAGATGTTCTTTTCTTATTATTATTGTTTGCTAAACCACCTAACTCTGACCTATGAATCATTCAGGCATGAAAAGCTCCTCACCTCGAGTCAACTCAGCAGAAGCATGTATTAAATTTGATATTTAGGCATTTTATTAGCAGCAGTCCATCACAGCAACACAATTTGTTCCAATTTCTTTAACTCGGCAAAAGCAAAACACTGTTTGACAGCCATAATGAAATTTTAGTGCCAATAAGTTAATTCCCAAAGAGCTACTATATTAATACTCGGCTTATAGTGGATGATTAGTTGAAGGATGATGCATCTTTACGTCTTCTTTTATAGGATAACGTTAAGATACAAATCATCTGCTCTGGGCAGTTAGACTTTACACTTCATTTATGTGCTCCGTTTTTCTATCTCCCTCAAGCTTAAGTACAAAACCAAGAAAAAAAATAAAGGACAAAGACAAAAGATGAAAATAACCTTATGTCATTGAGGCTGACCATTTGAAAGATTACATTAAAATCTGGCTATTTGAAGGGAAAACATAAAGAAGCAAAAGGTGGCTTAAAACTGTCGTGTAAACTGCACAATAAATGACTATCACCACTTTCCTTGAATATGTCCTGCACATCCTAATCCTTCAGCCGCACCCGATTTTCAAATGCCTCCTTTAGTGTCAGGCCTGCTCCCCCATACTAAACAGAGAAGTTAGATGAAGGGCTGCTGATCAAATGTCACCATCCTGTTTTCATGTACAATGCTTTAGCACCCCCTGTTGGATTCCTATAGGACTTTAAAAAGCCTCAGACCTGTTTACCCATCAGCTCATGCAAATGGACCAGGGAGCCCCCACCTCTCACAATTACAGCTGCCTGTTCCACGAACCTGACATGTGACTACATTAGTTTAACTTCCCCTTATTTTAGGGAGCAAATCTTCTGAATTTTCCCCAGTGTTGAGCAACACTTTATCTCTGTTTGATGCTTATCTTGGATTAGTCATCTAAGAGAATTTGTTCGCCTTAATCACAAAGTCTATTCGGTGAGAGGGCAAGGTGTGTTGAAGGTGTGCAGAGTCAGTGACGATATCCAGTTTGTTCTGTATTCATCTGCAAAAGACTTCTGGCCAAGCAATAAGTGAGAACTGTCTGTCACACACAATCTTACTTTTTGTCTATGACAATCAAGTTAATTAAAGTAGTTGAACAATCAACTTCCTGCAGAAAGTAAAAATAATCAGTCACCCTCAGGCCAAGAGTTTTTAGTACTAATTAAATACATTAATTAAACTTTTGCAAATTGCCTAAAGATTTAGCCTTTTACTCTTTGTGGGTTGGGATTAAAGTTATCAACAGAAATGACACCGATTGGTAGGAATGCTTAAAAAAAAGATCTAGTCATGTTCATTTGCTTGTTAAATGTCAAATGTAGATGGCGTCAGTTTTGTCTCGTGATTTGGGACTTCACTTTTGCTTTAGCATTTTTTTGTGAAATGGGCTAAACAATGCATGAAATGGCTCGTACTTTCTGCAAAGACGTGAAAATGTACAGCATAATAATGACTGCCATCTCATTTATGACCTGCATTTAATGAAGAACGATGCTCTTTTGTAAGTTTGAAGCATCCACTTTGAAATGATTTGCATAGTGTGTGAAAGAGTTCTGCTGCAGACCATGCTGTGACAACCCAGCATGGCTAACCTCATGGAAATAAATAAATAGATGCTAAAGAAAATAAAGTAAATATGTCAAGGGAAATTAGGCCTTTGGCTTGTTTTTGAAAGCTTGACTAACCAGTTGTGTCAAAACAAATTTTACTTTAGGCAAAAAAAAAGGAAAAGAAAAGCTTTGGTGCTGCTGTTTTGGCATCTTAACTGTTTCACATGTCAGATTACGCCGAGCAAAACGATCCAGTCAATCTCCACCTGAGGGACTCCCAAAGTAAGAAAATGTGGTTCATGAATCATGCAGACCCAACAGCTCCGAAGCTAAAAAAATAAAAAATATCACTCATTTGTTCCATTTTTCCACAGACAGAAAATGTTGGACAGTTGTTGCCAGAAGCTGTTTGAAGAATAGGAGATTTTCTACGGTTTGATGGTTTCAGGCACTGCCCAACACCACAGACCCCTATCCTGTGAATGGTGAAGTAGACAAAAATACCAGCTGGGAAAAGGAAAAATAAGATGATGTGCAGCTTTAATTGTAAGACATGGCGTAATTCAATCTTTTTTATGACTTCATTTCCTGGAAAGCGTTAAGCCTATAGGAAACCTGTGGTTATCAGTTTACTTTTCCCCCCCTTTTCTTTTCATGCTATAAAATCTGTCAGAAGCATTGCCGCACCTTTTACTTCTACCTGCAGCTGCTGCTGGCTTTCTGTGGTTTGTAGTGTTTTAAAAGCATTGATATGAGATGACCTGAAGAACAGACCAACCACATCAACCAGGTAAGCCTGTTGGATTGAAATCATGTCTCTATCCTGAAGTCATAGGATTAAGTTATAGAGAAGATTAAAAAGTATGATTTGTCCACTTTGATCAGAGCTTGGACCATGAAACGTAAACAAACTTCAGCAGAACTTTCAAGTCTGCGAGCAAGAGCTGTGCGGTCTGTTTGAATCTCTCAGGCAAGTTCTGACAAGGTTAGAAAATATGTTGCTAAAAGAGGAAGGTGAAGTGAATAGCAATCATTAACGAGAATAAACCTGTTGACATAACAGTGGCAATAAAATGTCTGTCAACTCTTGCACTGTACGACAAACACCAAAATGCAGCACAGCAATAACATACAATTATGCAAGAAAAAAATAAAAGGAAATTTCAGTTCAAAATGAAAAATATTTGAGATATTAACCTTTATAAATGAGCAGCTGTTGCATGGATTGGTAGTTCTGGGGCAGCAGCAGCGAAGGTACAATCACCTTCTGCTCAGAGTTGAGAATATCAGATTTGACCTCTGTGTTCTCGTGGATGGATGGCATTTTGTAAGATTAGAGACCGACCATTAAAACTGTTCAAAACCAGTAGCAAACAGGATTCATTTCAAAATGAATCCTGGAACAAATAGAAAGACAGACCTGGAATTATATGTTTTCTAGTTCCTGTTAACAGGCGATCTGCAGTGTTTTGTCAAGGTTGACTGAATTACAGTAATCTAAACAAATTTATCTTAAAACAATCACTTCTAAAGCATTGCTTTAGTAAGAAAACATAGCTGAAAAAACCTCATTTTGACAACTGAACTGATGTGCTTTGTGAAATGAGTAGTCAAAGAATATATTATGAGTCTTCACAGAGCGCTCAAAAATGACATTTGAAAGATCTAATATCTAAGATGCCATAACCTCTGTTGTATTATGGTTGAGGAGGAGGAGGAATCTTGAGTTCATTCACGCCTTTATATCAGCAAAACATTCCAATAATGCCTTCACAGAACAGTTTTTTTTATAAATGGGCAGATAGAGTTGAATGCCATCAACAAAGCAGTGGAAAGAGATATTTCATAGAAATAGACCCCAAGTGAAAAACAAAGGGGAAGAAAGAAAAAAAGACTGGACCTTGAATGAATCATTGCAGAACACCCCAAGTAACAAGTGTTGCAGCTAAAGAATATGTGTCTACCTGGGATGGGAAGCTTTTTTTTTTCCCCAATTAAAGACTTAAACCAATGTAGCACAATTTCTTCCAAACCCACACAAGGCTCAAGCCTTCATAAAAGGATGCAATAATCCAAAGTTAAACAAGGCACTTAGACCTCAAAAAGTCAGACAAGCAGGGATTTTCAAAAACAGTTATAACCAGGTCATTAACAACTTTAGGATAGCAGTTTTAGTGCTGTGAAACTTTTTAAAGCCAGATTGAAACTTTTCATGAACACAATTCTCTTGTAAGAACAGTTCCAGCTGGGGCAAAAAAAAAAAAAAAGAATTTTGTAAAAGAACCTGTAAAAGAAAAGGCAACTTCTGTTTGGATCTGGGAGGTGTCTGCATGTTTAACCCTTTGTTGCAGTTGTGTGGTCGTCCTCATGAGGGCGCCAGGTAGCAGCAGTCTTGACTCGCTGCAGGTGTTTGGCGTTAGAATTCAGTAGGTGAGTCTGCTGCACAGATGGACCCGAAGTGGAGAACTTTTTTTTCCGGGTGAGTACCGAGACGAAGGCAGCCGAGCGGAGGGGTTGGAGGTCGGACAAGTAAAGCAGCAGCAGAGGGGCTGGATGGAGCTAACCGTGGAAGTTTGTCCAGAGTCGACGGAGCAGATGAGGAACCAGGATGTCAGGACGAAACTCAGGAAATTCATACATTGAGATCAGCAAAGGTAACCTGCGCGTGGAGATTACGAGGATGAGGAGAACAAAGAAACCGCAGAACTGGGAGACACATTGACAACCCAGAAAGCTCGGATATTTACCACTGCAGGTTAACACTAAGGCATTGAGGTACTGGCATCCAGGTCCTTAAATCCTAAACCTTGTGAGTGGAAATCAACTCCAGGTGTGTTGAAAACACCTGCAGCGTGTTAGGACTGCTGCTACCTGGCACCCTAATGAGGGCGACCATACGAAGTGCAACGAAGAGTTAACAGAACATGTATACACATGCCTCCCAGATCCGAACTTAAAAATAAACCCTAGGTTCCACAGTCAGAAGGATTTAATTGTTTCAGCTTGAAAAGTGGCAGCACCACAGCCTGAATTGAGGGAAGAGGTTATCAATAGCAAAATTAGTAACCTAACAAATTGAAGAAAATCCTATAAAAATTAGGTTTGTCTAAAAAAAAGTCTGAGGCCATAGATATTTCTACTAAATACAGGAACAGAATGAAGCTCTGTTCCACCTTTAAGTGTCCCATATTTTGGGAATGAGTCTAAGCCCTTCTCTCACAGAGACCATCTTACAGGTGTGGACTGGAGTTAGGCCTTTAATTTCAGCCATCTTCATGGACAATCCAAACCAACACACCAAACACACTAAGTATTCACTCACAATCAAAAGTCCAAAAACTTTTCCTAAACCTTAAGACTACAAATAAAAGACTGGAGTGTGAACTGTAGAGGAGCCCATAGTAACATAAAAAGTTCTGATTAGTGACAAAGTCCGTCATTCTCCAGAAACATGTTTTCCCTTGACAACCAACCTCATATGAGAAGTTGTAGGAATAGACTAGCCCAGAGGTTCCCAAACTGTGGGGCGCGCCCCCTCGGAGGTGGGGGGGG